GCCGCCCCGCGGCCCTTGGCCGCCGCGCCGTTGCCCCCGGCCAGCGCGCCCGCCGCCCCGTTCTTCAGGCGCTCCTTCTTCAGCTGCTCCAGTTGGCGGCACATCGCTGCAACACAACGCACGCGGTTAGGCGCTGCCGCTCACGCGCGCCGCGCCGCGCGAAACACCCAGCACACACACAAAGCCACACTGGCGGAGGGGGCTACACGGCCAAAGCGGAGCTGGCGGCGGAAGGGAGGTAGTCGGGAATCATGAGCGACAAGGTACTAGCTACTGGAGTTGGAGAGCGTTCTGTATTTGGCACACGGCATTCGATTTCCAAATTGAAAATCAGATATTTCTATTTAGATTTCCGGAAATAACATTCCGATGAACCGATTTCGATACAGTGATGTAGTTACGTGAGTTAGTTACGTTAGACTCAATATATCCTCAAACAATTTAACAAAATGGCGGACTACAAAGTTCCTATTCGCAATCATGCAATTGTTGATCGATATAATAAAAAAATATTATTTTGGAAATATCTGTTGAACGAACGTAAAAATAAAATCTAGTGAAGACTGATTGAGGAATATTTGGAAAGTCAGTGGAACATCTTTTGAGGAATAGTCATTTTCATGCATTCTTCGTAAAATACAACACATATATACACATACTTGTACGCTTTTCGTGCGGTTATGGATTTCATAATACTTGTCACATTGTAGACATTTACTAGGATGACGTGAATGATCTACTAACAGAGTTGTTTCAATGTTTTCAAAAAGGTTAACGGTACTTTTGCCAATAATTAAAACAAATCGAGATTTTCGCGCCACACGTATACATCAATGTAGTAAACAGGACTACAAAGAAAGCACACAATGTGTATCCAAAGCATAAACGCACACAGAGAAAAGCAATTACACGGATATCTTGCGCTTTAACAACACAGAACAAATTAAATATGTACCTTGTCGTAGTATAAGTAAACTGATGCAGGTGCTAGTGTATGTTGGCTGTCCAAGTATATTTGCAGGGAAGATCATCTGGTACATGTTGTAAAGTCATGAGGAGCTGTGCAAGAATCGTTGTGTGCTCAACCGAAATTTGTGTGATTGGCGTGTAAAAAACCACATACGTTGCTGAGTAGTTCCAAAGAACAAAGAACTCTTCATTGCGATTCAGCGAAAGTCAAGATCAGAACATTTCATGCCTTTTGTGTATAGAGAAGGAGAAGCAATCACAAAGATCTGGTAGATAATACTGCGTAATCAGAAAATGTTAGTGTAATATGGGTATGCATATTAATACTCTTTGTTTCGTACGCGTTAGTTTTTGCTTTACGTTATTGTTGAGAGGCAAGGCCATGCGACTAGAGTGCCTAAGTGCATTTTTCCGAGAAAATGAGAAAAAATGCTTATCGGTACAATTCTGGCAGCTCCAATTGTAGACGTCTATTATAACTAAGTGTAAGTGACAAGACATACGGTTCTTACAGCTGGTGGCCCACAGATCACTTTTCATAGTAAAACATGAAATTGTCAATTGCTGATAAACAGATCGCTTAGCCGCGGAACTCTACAATTATTGTGGCTAAGTTTTGATTCCGTTTCGCACCGTAGGTTATCCATCTTCTAAATTGCTTGGTATTCAATTTTTAAAACTTTAAACAATCATATTAATATACAAGCCTGTTGCAGAGCAATAAGATGATGATTATACGTAAAACTAATAACATTAAAACGCTAGATAAGCAACCAACTTATAGCTAAAGATAACAAAGGAAAATGTCCCATCTGTAACATAATTTGTGGAAGTCTATTTAAACTATATAAGGATATTACGAGAAATCTTGTCAAGATGAAAAATTCTAGAAGTTCTTAATATCAACTGACAAGCAGTGAAAATATTTGTCTTTAATCTTGCGCCACATATTTCAAAACCTAGTTTCATCTTCATATTTTTCTGTGTCGCTCTTTTACGAGCCTTTCGCACTAACACACTGCTCTTCTCCTCATATATGCCGCAACGTTTTATTGTAAGTTATGCAACGTTCTACAGATTCTCAAATATGTAGCTGCTTTTTCGTCTCCATCTAATATCCTACATGAATTACTACAACGAATAATCTTTCAATTCGACAGAAACACAGTGACTCCTTTGCTTTAAATGCACTGAAAACTGATGATACACTTGCGAGCGATATTCAAAGCACCAGACTTCACCATGAGAAACACGGGATACTGACTGGACATATGGGCTCCTTCGGAGA